CTCCAGCGGTGCGGCGGCTCTCCGATCCAGCGCTGACTCCTCTGTCCTTGCAGGCACTTCCGATCCCGCGGTGTCTGCGGGTGCACGCGTCCATAGACTTACCTTGCGTCTCTGCTCGTCTCCCGGCCGAAAATCCAAACTGCGCATGCGCCAACCCCAAGATGCTTTGCGGCCGCCCGAGCAGTTTCGGATTCTCGGACGGGAGCGCGTGGGCGAAGACGGGGTAAGCAGTACATATATGCAAAAAAAAAGAGGGTTTAGAAACCCTTTTAAACCATTTCTTAAAAATCCAAGCAAAGTTACTGGCGCCCATCATTCTGAACCCTATGAAGAATGTGCTTGGGACATTTATCAAAAAGTAAGTGGGTCTCGGACATTTGTAAGGTCACTATTGAGTGATAGAGAAGCCATATTCCCTTGAACTATGTCTGTGTAGTTACCAATAGTGCTACAATAACATAATTACTGAATAACAGACTGTGTGACAGGCTGCTGCAGACCAATCAATTCCACTCTGTATGATCTTCAATCACAAGCTGTTGGAAAGCTTCCCAAATTGGCACACAATCACCAAGTGTATGGCTAGTATTACTGTCAGCGAAACTCCCGCTCTGCGCATGCGCAGCGGAGAACAAACACGCGCAGGCGCAGCCGGGACCAAATTGCGACACCCCGAACCTACTCTGCCCTATGTGTTAGAAGTAGATGCCTCTGAGACAGCAGTGGGAGCAGTGCTTTCCCAACGACCTACGGGCACCATCCTGCTACACCCCGTGGCGTTTTTCTCTCGAAAACTATCCCCACCTGAGAAAAACTACGATGTAGGGGATCGAGAGCTCCTAGCCATAAAACTGGCCTTGGAAGAATGGAGATACCTTCTTGAAGGAGCTCAACTCCCCATACTTGTCTATACTGATCATAAGAACCTCGAGTATCTCCAATCGGCCAAACGCCTCAGGCCCCGGCAAGCCAGATGGGCCCTTTTCTTTTCACGTTTCAATTTGCACATCACCTACCGTCCGGGGTCAAAAAATGGCAAACCAGATGCACTTTCAAGAATGTATCCTATGTCCGCAGCAAGATCCTCAACGGAACCGGTGCTTCCAGCACACAACTTTCTTCTGCTACAGCAGGGCTTCCTCTCGGACCTCCTTGACGCAACCACCTCTGCAGAACGGCCTCCCGGAATCGATTTAAGGGAACACAAAGGACTGTTGTTCCGGGATCATGCCGTGTTCGTGCCCCCACCATTACGACATGCCGTCTTTAAAGCCTGTCATGATCATCTTCTAGCTGGACACTTCGGGGTTTCCAAAACTTTCAGCCTGATTCGAAGGAAGTTTTGGTGGCCCTCCCTAAGGGAGGATTGCCACACCTATGTGACCTCTTGTGCAGTCTGTGCCAGGAACAAAACGGAGCGAAAGAGGCCATGGGGTTTGTTACATCAACTTCCTGTCCCCTCCAAGCCCTGGGAGATGCTTAGTATGGACTTCATTGTTGAACTTCCCCCATCGGAGGGCTACACCTCCATCTTTGTTGTGGTGGACCGCTTCACCAAAATGGCCCATTTCATTCCCATGGTGGGTACCCCTTCTGCCTCAGAGACTGCTAGAACCTTTCTCCTGCAAGAGAAGCCTCCTCTCACTTCGGCCTCCCTACCAGGTACGTGATAATTACACAATCCGATAACAAACAATAGGCTTTTGTCTTTTGTTAAAGAATTAGCACAGGAAACAAATGGAAAATAACAAACCGGCCTTTCATTGCTGTGTTTTGTCAACCCACAAGGAACATGTTTAAATGGGGAAACAAAAACAAGGATACATTTTTAATATAGAAGTTCAGTGACACAAACAAGCAGAACTCTGATGAAAAGACGTCTTGTACAGGTCAAATGAAAAGCTTTGCTGCTGGGAAGAATAAAGCCAACAGTTGGAAGCTAAACATGACAAACAAGAAATTGCACAATGTGTTCCAATTAACACAAAAGCACCAAAGAGAGCTAAAACTACCACCATGGAGAAAATGAAACTCACAAAGCCACTTAATAAAGATGCAAATAAATAATAATGCCTTTTTTGTGTTTATATCTACATAAAGATCAGGTTCCTTTTTGGCACTTGTTGCCAAAAATAAATTGCTGGCTGCTTCTGTTATGTAAAGGGTTAATGTGAATAAACAAAATAGAAACATTTTATGAATTCAAAAACGTGATACTTTCAGAACCTCTATTGAATCGTAGCATTGTGATAGCAGGAAGATATGAGTGCATATATAGTAAAAGTATGAATAATGTGTGGAATTATTTAATGTGTTGGTATATAGTTTATGTTACTGTTTATAGCGATTTTCAGTTTCTAGAATATTAAGGATCGGGGGGACCCTTTTCATTAAAGGAGAACTATGGGTCAGTGTTTTTCCCCATAGTTCTCCTTAGGGTAACGGGAGGACACAAAGTAGCGTCCTCCCGTTACCCCAAGCTCAGTATACCGCGAGCTACAGCTCACGGTATACTGAGACGGCGCAGCCGGAGCGGATCCCGACCTCGCCGTCGAGATCCGCCCAGCTGCGTGAGTGACAGCTGGCTCTGCCTATCTAGAGGTAGAGCCAGCTGTACCCGCCCCCTCTCCCCGCTCCGGTCTGCCAGCGCTGACTGGCGGAACGGACAGTTAAATAAGCCTTTCGTTTTAACAGTTTTGTATGTTTAACCGGTGCAAAAAATACCTGCTGATCTTGCCAGGAATCTTGTCAGCTAATACCTTACTGTGCTCTCTGCATGTTCTGCATTCTTTTCAGTAATCTCTGAGAACTACTGATGGAGAAGAGGGGGACAGGAAGTGTGTTTATTATTATACAGGATTTATACAGTATAGCGCCTACAGTTTGCGCACCGCTTTACAATATAAGGAAGACATTACAATCTGCAATTGCCTGTGATAAAAAATGGACAGAAAATAACAGTAGCAAATGCATTTAAAGAAATAAAGAGGAGATGTAGGACACCTTTTTAGCTTTCAAATAATCCAGAGCCACGCCCCTATATTTGCTCTTTCATTAGCCATTGGAAGTTTATTGATATTTTCGCATATATTATACATTTAAATGATTTTCTTACTATGGTTTTGTTCAGAAATGTTCTCCAGTCCATAAAAGATATCCAGTTCTTTGTTTGCCAGTAAAATAGTTATCCATTGCCAGCTTCAGCACAGATCATCAGACACAGCATGGTTATGTGGAGCATGATGCTGGAAACTGACAGGCATTTATTTATGTTTAACTGATCCCATCTGTTGTCTGCATTAGAAAGAACATGTAGGAGAAGAATACTATGTGAAAAATGAAGAGTATTCTTTTACAGGCCCTCATTGTATCTCATCAGTGGCTATTTATTTAAAGCTGCCTTTTGCCTAGTGGAATTGTTTTTAGAGGAGTATTTTTTAATTCTCAGTACATGTTGTCATAGTGAGTAGATGTCACTTATGGATAGACCATTAATGTGTTTTGTGTGTCTTTCGAAAAAATTTTTTTTTAAATACACAACATACTATAGGTTAAATGGTAATCCCAGCTTTATTGGAAATCTGCCTATGAACATTTCAAAATAAATTGCACTAAATGTGGCTATTTGCTTGCATTTCATATTTGTAGGCCATTAAAATAATGATGGACATAGGAATGAACAAAATCGCTAAATACTCTAAAATGTTAAACACATTTGCTGTATACTTTTGTCGCTATGAAAGATCTTGCTGTTCACTAACATTCAAGTGTGTCTAAAGCCAAATCTTGTTTTTTTTTTATAGTTTGGATAAACTGAAAACCATGTCAGTTTTTCTTTTTTACCAACTCTGTCCCATTCAAGAGATTTCCATTAACGTCATATCCTGTAGGCTTAAAGAAAAGATGTCTCAGCAGAAGATGAAATGTTTTGTTAACCCCAAGGGGACCATTTGCACATTGCACTCAGTCCCATTCAAATCTGTGCAGGGGTTTTCAAATAAAATGCAATTTTTATATCCATCAGTGCTGGCGGTAGCTCCATTCCAGGCTGTAGCCCAATTTAGGAGTGTTTCTGTGAAGGAGTTACATCCAGCGCTGAAGTTGCCTCCACCTATTTATTCTGCATCCCTCTGCCACATCTTCTGGGCATAACAGTGCACACAGGAGAGCTTGCACAACCGTCACCAACTCCTCCAATGGAAGCTTACAAAATGAACATGTTCAGCTCTGCTGTGCAGAAGAGGAGATCAGATGAGGCACAGGGCTGCATGGCAGAGCTGAAGATGTTCCTTCTGGCAGCTTTTTAGAGGAGGAGGGAGGGGTGTGGGGATGTGTGGGCTCTGTTTGCACTGCCTGTCACGCCTCTTCTTTTCTGCGCTGTCACTCAGCATTCCCGTCTACTTTACCCATTATTTTGGATAGCGGTGGCAGGAGGGAGAGTCGAGCTACCTGGCAATGCTGCTCAGCAGCACCTGCACGGATTTAATTGTGACTGAGCGTGATGTGCACTGGGTCCCCTGTGGGGTTCAACAAGCTCCTTCGTCTTCTGGCAAAGGTTCTTCTTTAACATGAGAAAATCTCATCAAAGTGAAAGAAATGCTCTTAATAGTTGTCACTGGATTAAGTGTCCCTATTTGAGGATTTCCTCTCTATTCCTGTAATTGTGGCAACTCAATTTTGAATTATCCCTCACTTACAGTCCCAGTGACAACAGTCGTCATTAAGACACATTTGGAGAGTAAATCTCTCTACTGGAGACGCATAAACTCTGTGTATAAACCACAAAGGAGTTTTTTACACTTCATCCAAAACAAAAAAAATCTTTGCCTTTTAGATACCCCTTAAGTTAATGGATTCTAAACTACAGTGAATTCTCCCAACTTTTGCCTATGAGGTTTGATTTATCATAGATTTTGAACTATCTACTCTTTTTCAGGTTGTTTACTTGGAGCACCAAAACCCAAAACATTTAAAACTTTTTTCTTTTTGTGTATCCACAGATTTCATCTGTTTCTAATCTACACATCTTCATGCTACAATCTGAAGATATTGCTCATGAAGAGGATATTCCCAGTCCTTAATCTGTCTCATAACAAGGAGTATATTAACCCAAACTCTCTCCATAAGAAGCCATGACCTGTTATTGTGATTTTCTTACTATTGGCCACTTATAAGTTTGAACCATTTTCCAAAAACGGTTATCAAAAATGACAAGTCTGTTCCGTAGGAGTAACAGCAATGGCAGCGCACGGAGCAATTCTTCCACTCAGGAACTTAACAACAGCCGGCCTGTACGCAGGTTGGAGTTTAACCAGGCTATGGAGGATTTCAAGACCATGTTTCCAAACATGGAATATGACATTATCGAATGTGTCTTGAGGGCTAACAATGGAGCAGTGGATGCTACTATTGATCAGTTACTACAGATGAACCTGGATGATGGTGGCTATGATGACAGTTCGGACTCAGATGACAGCATTCCTCCTGAGGTTATTTCTTATTTTGATTTTAGGACCGTAGTTAATTTTTCCATCATGCTACTAGATCAAATATGGCTTTAAAATCTCACAAGAGGAATTTTAGATGTTTCTAAGCATTTTTTAATTCTTGGACATGTTTACATAGAGACTTATGATCATCATTAAATATGTATGTTTTCTACACAATTGTAAAGTTAAAGTAGTTGAATTTTCAAATTTTGGAGCTCACTGAGTCTGCTCCATTCTACAGGGGATTAGAAGTGTTGTAGGAAAACAAAGGATGTAATGGAAACTAGAGAAAGAAAAGTTATGATTTCAATGCTGCGGTGTGTGTTTTTTTCCCCCTGTATGCTGCTAAATTTGAAAACCCTATTTTCATATAATATTTTTTTTCTTCCTTTTGAGGGACACTGGAAGCTTTACCCTTTGGGTTATACTACTGCCAACAGGATGATTGGACACTTATAAAAAAAAAAACCTGTAGACCAGCCTACGATAACCCATCCGAGTGCTTAGCAAAGATAACTGATTTTTTTTCTTCTACATCACTGCTGAAACTTTGGCTGTTTGATTCCAGCTTTCTAGCAAGGTTGTTCTCAGTATTTTGGAGTACCATGTCTGGAACCTGCTGGACTGAACATTGCGAGTATAGCCTGAAAGTGACCTTCAGGCACTGGGCTTTCCAGACTCCATTACCTCAGGTGTTGCCCTGTCTCTGAAGGTCAAGTACTAGGAGCTACCTTAGTCACTTAGGCTGTTGGATGCCTTTTAATTCCTCTTCCCAACAGTTTTGCAAGGGAAGGGGCTAACTCTGTAAGACTATGCACTGACATTATCCACCAGTTGGAGTGTTGCACATCCATGCTCTCCCCACTCTCATCATACAATGTTAAGGACACATCTCCCCACTTCTGCTCATGTTGAAAAGAGCCAAGTGGAACTTCAATCTTTAATCTGTTCCTGCTGCCCACAGTCAGTGACTTAGGTCACCTCTAGGCACCTGACCCTCCCCTGATACCAGCTGCCTGGGTTTTGTGACCACCTGAGGCCTTGCCTCTTACCCATAGCCCATACTTGGCCTTACTGCCACACAAAAAGATACATGGCAACCGCACAATTTTTATAGCCAGCCTTTGTAGCAAGGTGCACATGGAAAGGCTTATAACAATACAAAACACGGAAGTTTTCCAGCACACTTACCGGCTAGCCTGCAACAAAATAAATTCCTCTGTCTAACAGTATGCATTCAAAATAAAAGCTTTAGTTGCACAACTTTTTGCAAAAAATATGTCGAAGCCACACTGCCCCGTCAAGACTCCTCTGTATAGTGTGGTCCTAACTCTAATTTGTGAGTCTCAATATTGGAGCATTTTTAACCGGTTTACAACAGCCACACAGTTGTAACGTCTGATTCTAGACAGAGAGGGGTGTCGGGGGGGGGGGGGTCACGCTGTTATTGGTATCTCCAGTATTCTTCTAA